CTGCTGCTGCGCACTCCCTGTGTCTGTCTGCCTCCCTCCTCTCCTGCACAGCTCAAGGCAACAACTGCCACTACCACCACTGCTCTCAGAGCGATGATGATGATGCGCTACGTGCTGCTTGCGTGTGCCTTCTGCGTGTGGTTCGGCTGCGGGTGTGTTGGTGCAGAAAAGGAAGATAATCGTTGCAAGGATGAAGCCAAAAAAGACTGTCCGGCTCCCGAAGATCCTTCGTCTGCTGAGCCTGCGGATCCTGGTCCTCGGGGGGCCGAGGGACTTCCTGGTGTTCCTCGTCCACCGGTAAACGGTATTACTTCGCCTTCCTGCCCGAGCAAGCGTGATGGCGAGGAGGCGTGCAAAGGCGTTTCACAGAGTGCACACGGTAAAACCGTGTCCGAGGTTACTTGCACTTCGCCTCAGGTAACAACAGAGGGCACTAAGATTTGTCCGGAGTCCATGGGCACTATTTCAGAAGTAAGTGGACAAATTCCTGCTGTTCCCGGTGCCGGCCTGGGCGGCGATCCGGATCCTCGACAGAAGCCGGCCGCTGCTTTGACTTGCAGCACGGATGAACTTATTGCTGAAAACGAAGAGGCATGTAAGACCAGGGCGTCTCAAGGTCTGCAGGTTGGTGTCCCCGCTACCACCGGTGGGACTGGTGGTGGCGGAGGCCCGAAAACACCTGCAGAATCTCGTGGCCCAGTGTTGGATGAAGTAGGCGGACAAATGGGCAGAGACGGAGAAAATGGTAAGTTGGAGAATAACCCTGTTGGGTCCTGCTCTGCTGCTTCAGGTGGGGCTACGGATTGCTCACTTGATACATCCCTATTACATGCGCAACAACAGCAGAGCAAACTTTCTGAGAAACGCACAGCTGGGGACATTTTGGGCGAAGAAGATTCTAATTTAGTGTCCACCGGTACTCGCGGGGGAAGACAGGACGCCCTAACAGAGAAAGGTGACGCCCCTAACGCTGGCCACGACGGCAACGCTGCCGATACTTGTGTGAATGGAAGACATAAGGAAACAGGTAAAAATTGTAACCTGAGCGTTACTGACAACACCCTTCAGACTAACCAAAGAAAGGATGATGAAAGCCACGCAAAAGATCCCAAAACACCTGGAGCAAAGGAAGACGCCCCCATCCCCGACGGTGATAACACTGCCGCCATGAGTTCCGGTGCCACACCATCCGTTCCCCCCGTGCATGAGGCTGGGAGTGCTGCTTCCGATCACCGAAATGGAGAGCCTTCTGAGAGTACAGCTCAGGCTGCAGTTGAACAAAGTGATGCCGTGCAATCGCAGACATCTCCCACCTCTACTTCCACGAGTGCCACAGAAGCCACAAGCAGCAGCCAGCCGA